TTCATATTGTCCTATGTGAAAATAAGATATATTTGTATTGTTTTTCTTAAAGAAGGTTCCCAAAATTGGATAAGTTTCAAGCTCCACAAAATCTGGATCTGTTTGGAGGTAAGCTGAATCACAAACAACCATGGTTTAATCAAAGGCATGGATATCATGATACAAATGGTACTTATTCTTGAAGAGGTAAATTTTATTATATATAATTTACATTCATTTGTAAAACTAATGGTTTGCTTGGGTTTGGGGTACCGGAGTGAATTGCTTCTAAGAACTTGAAAATGAAGACAACAGAGGCTGTGCTCTTGAAGAGTTTTTAAGATCAGTACTCAAAGCATCACGGAGGAGCTATGCAAAGCACCTGGGCAAAGATAATAGCTCCAAGCTCAGCAAGAATGGGCTAGAACTAGTAAATTCACATTCACAAATCTAAAGAGAAAGATGGCATCACTTGAAATGGAGCTTGGTGAGACATGGAAACAGCAAAAGGAAAGTCACAGCAATAACTGCTGGTGGGAACCACCTCCAAACTGTCAAAGGGAGTGGAGGTTTAGTCAGTGAACTTGCCTTAGACCTAACACACACATGGGTAGACAGACTCATCCTAATGAACAGACCCGAAATATTTCTGAACCCACTAGGAAGACATGACTTTTCAGGAAAGAAGGTATCAGACTACCTTAGCCTGATGCCACTAGAACATTTAATTCATCAAATTCTTGTTCTGATTCCGTGTTCATTCACAAAGCAACCTTTTAATTGCAACTTGACTTCCTCAATGATTCCGACAAAGAATGTCGATATTCTGATCTTTGTGACTGAAATACATGTTTTGTACTTCAATAAGGTGGAATTGGAAAGTCCCTGGATGGCGCAAACAATTCATGCTCTGCTGCTAATCAAGAGGTTGATGGTTCGAACCCACACAGTGGTGCCACAGAAGAAAGGCCTGGTGATCTGCTTCCATAAAGATTATAGCCAGGGAAATCATACGTAGCAGCTCCACGCTGTAACATAATGGGGTCGCCATAAGCTGCAATCAATTTGACGGCAAAGGGTTAATATGGAATCCCATTTTTATACAGCAACCACACGAGCCTGCTTAACATGAGTCAGATTCTGAAAAATAAATCCATTTTTATTTGCTCAGCAAGTCAGGCTTCTGATTCTATGAGGCCAATGACCAAACCCTGCACTGCGATCAATTCCACCAAGGCCCCCTGGGAAACAACCTGCCAACCTTTTCCTATAGGACCCACTCCTGCATGGCTAGTTTCATTGCAAATTTTTATTTTAATTATCCTCATACTATATTGTCAGCAATCTTGATAAGCAATAAAATCGCCCAAAAGTAAATCTATACAGAATGCACAGAAAAAAAACATAATTTTTTTACACTTTTTCTCTTACATATAAATTTATTCCACGTAACACTTCCTAGGCTTCTGAACTTTTTAAAAATCCTTTTTACCTATGTGATTGGTTATTAAGGTTTAGTGATCCAGACTGGTACATCTCTTCCAACTGTTTCCTGTTTCCAAAGTACAATGCAAGGTCTGTGGCGATGATGGCTTTGCGGATGATCTCAAGCACCTGTTCGTATTCGCTGGAGCTCAGGGTGGAGAAGATATTGTGCCCCTCCAACTATGGAAAAAATACAAACAAAGACCGCCAATAAAAAGCACAGGCTCTAATCTTACGACATTTTCAGTTACTTGAAACAATACAGGCAATGCCACTCAGCACACTAATGACGGCTCTTGGTGCAAAAAAGAATAATTTAACTCTAATACAGTTAGCATTTTGGTTTCTCTTTACATAAGTGTCATGGATTGAATTGTGTCCCCTAAAAATTTCTGTCAATTTGGCTGGGTCATGTTTCCCAGTATTGTAAGATTGTGTACAATTCTGATGTGATTTGCTTATGTGTTGTAAACTCTATCACTATGATGAGGTTATATGTGATCTCCTTATGTGCTGTAAATTCTATCACTGTGATGAGGTTATGCTGATGAGGTTTACAGGATTAGATAGTGTCTTAATCCAATCTCTTTTGAGATATAAAAGAGAGAAGTGAGCAGAGACACATGGGAACCTCATACCACCAAGAAAGCAGTGCTGCGAGCAGAGCGCATCCTATGGACCTGAGGTTCCTGCGCAGAGAAGCTCCCAGACCAAAGGAAGACTGATGACATGGACCTTCCTCCAGAGCCAATGGAGAAAGCCTTCCCCTGGAGCTGACGCCCTGAATTTGGACTTGTAGCCTACTGGACTGTGAGAGAATAAATTTCTTTGTTAAAACCATCCACTTGTGGTACTTCTGTTAGAGCAGCACTAGATGACTAAGACCATAAGCTATAGCAACAATGAAGTGACCACCGCTTAAAGGAGCTATTTCAACTACAGTAACATCACTCGTTACGACAAAACCCAAGAAATTTAAATACACCTAGATTGTGGAACCTTCTAATGACAAGAGGACTGACAAATTTAAAATATTTAAATTAAAGATTTTTCCTCTTGAACTACCTAAAAACTTGAGTAATTTTGATATCATACGGGAAATGAGTGGTCTGAAGGCTGTCCATACCTCTGTGCTCCTCCATTTAGGTTCCACCATACCAAACCAAGCCTAATGAATCATCATCTACTTCTTTCCATCCTAGAAGAAAATATTCCACAACCTCAAAGTGAAGTGTCTGCAGGCATATTAAAAACTCTACCTACAGGCAAAAGCATTTTTTGCAGAAAACACAAATCACTGAAGGTGCAAAAACTGTTGGGCCATCTTCTTCTCTTCTGCCCTTGCGAGAGATGGGAACAGCAGACCACCACCTGAGCAAGACCAGGACATGGGCAACGTGCATGCTCTCAGGTCAGGACACTGAGTTACTCTTCTTCTGCACGTGGATCTTCTAAAAACTTTTTATGAGAATGTCTTCCTCTAAGAATTTTAAGGATTTTATGTGCAGCTGAGATAAAGTGGGCAGCTTTCATTCAAACTAAAAAGGTTGAGATGATTCCATTTGTGGGGCAATAAATTATTATTTAATAACTTCATTACCAGTCAATATAGTCCCACTGTAAACTGACTTTTAACTGATTCCATCTGTCTTAATCTGTATTTACTGGTTTATAAAATGCATTAAAAGCTTAAAGGTTTCTTTACAGAATCAGACATCCATCCCACTAAGACACAGCCTGATTCACATTATTCTGAAATAAGCCATTCTCACACCATCTGCCCTCAATCATCACAATTTTCTGTATTATTCACTCTTAAGGTACTATAAATTTTAAATTATCCTCCAATAAATGTGTTCAATGGAGTTCTTCCTAGTTGGTTATTTTCCCAATAATAATAATAATCCCTTGAGATGCTCAAGCACAGCTGCTCGGGAGAGAAGGGATGAACGCACTAGATAGGTGGCTGAACTCGGTTACCTTTCGGGCTCCTTCCAACCTCCACATTCTACAATGTAATGTAAGAAAAAAAGCGTTACTTTGATCACTGCTCTGCAATCTGCTTTTTTGTGATTTGGTCATAACTCAAATGAAGCGGCAGCCTCTTCCTGTGTCTCCTGCCTTATAAACATGCTTCAGGTCAGACTGGGCTCAGCTGCTGTTCACACACGTCGGCTACGGACAGACACCCCAAAGAGGAATTACCTCTAATGAATTTTATATGCCTGATTCTCTCCATCGTCAATGCTTAGGCCAATAAATCCTTGAATTACAGTGTATACAAAATTACTCTAGCATGCTGTTGAAGTTTTAAGGAAAATCTCTCTGAAGAAGGGACTTCTTAAACCAGAGTTCTGTAAATCCTCTAGCGAACCATGGAGTTCCAAACTCACTGCAGCTGTGCACAGATGTTGCAGGCGCCACCATGGTACGCGTTTTCACCAGGTCCCACAACGTGTCCACGACCTAGATAAACTGAGGTCCATTCTGGAGGCTCTCTAGATTCTGCTGACTACTTCGATCCATTAGTTCTTCTATTACTTTTCAACCACAAAAGCAAACTATGCGGAAAGGGTGCAGGAGAAGGCCTTTATAATAAACAAGCTATGCCCAGGGCTCTCCCACTGCCTCCTGAAATACTTTCTCAAGAGTAAAGGGAATAAGTGAACAGACAAACTAAACAGTCTCCCTTCCCTGCAAGGGAATCTAACGTGCACTGACCAGCACCCGCACCTGCCAAAGCGCACAGAAAGGAGAAACATGCCGCCAAGCACGGCAGATAAAACAGTGCCAAAAGTTTATAAAGACCCGATTTCACATTAGTCAGCAGCCTAATAAACCCTCAGAGTAAAAGAATACTTTCATACACCAATTAATAAGTTTATATGGTTACTATCAGATTACACAGTTGGATGCTTACGTCAATTCAAGCTCAGTTGATCCCATTTTGCATAAATCAAGTTATGAAATAGCAGATGTTGCAAACTGAGAAATGTTTCCCAAGTCCTAAAATGGGTGAGCAGGGCACAACTCTTATCACTGTGAAAGCGTACCAGCGGACTCTGTCTATAAATGCCGTAAACAGCTGATATCAGAGAGTGCAGACGAGGCTGAAACGGCTCTGACACTGAAAATCCACCCGGGGGCCCGCTCCGAGGGGGGATCTTTAAGGCCCTTTCCATCTCTCCAACTTGTGATTGTGCCCAGCATTCGAATCCACTGTTGGAGCACTAAGCCCCCACGGCCTCGTTGCCACAGCTGTGATTTCTCTCCACAGAATGAGGAATGCACATCTTCATGACTTAGCAGATATGGAGTGTCCTGTTCCACTTTGTGTAAAAACAGTAATAGTCCAGCACCTACTCCGTCTGAGGCCCAGAAGAACTAAGTTCCTTTTTCAAGGAGTTGGCAGTTTAGTGGGAGAGACAGACACATAAACACACAACTGACACAGAGCAGCAGTCCCAGTGATGGGTGGAGTGAGCACTGGAGAGCATGGGACAATTAACAGAGCAGCAGGCCCTGTGATG